TTCCCTGTGTTTATTTCTATGTATTAGGTAGAGCTGCTATGTCTCCTGGAATTGGTAGAGTGGCCTTGTATAGTAGGTATTCTGTGGGGCCCAGTAGCTCAGCCTCCCCCATCACCTCAGCTGGGCACTCTAGGTGTGCCCCTGTGTGGGCTGTGTAGCACAGTCTTGTAAGCTGAGCCTCGATTTCTGTTGGCATCACTTGGAGGAGTTGACCTCAAGGCCAGTTGGCTGTGAGGACCAGCTGTGATTATAGTAGAAGAGCTGCTATGCAGGAGATACCCTATGGAGCAGGACTTGCTTCAGTGGGGCTTTGATGCTCATTGAGTCTGCCCCTTGAATGTGTTGCTTGTGGATGTGTAGAGTTGTAATCTGCTATGGTCTGAAGCTGTCCACCAGGTGTACTGACTCTGGGGCCTCCAGGGAAGTGCAAAGTTAGCCATTGCCTGGGGCCATTAGGAGCTACAGAGCCATCTGCAGATGGCTGCACTTGCATTGGGCTTGGAAGTAACCAGGGGAGGCCAAGCTATGAAGCAGGCAGGCTGCTGCTAAGTGCTGGTTCTTGGGCCTCTTATTAGTAAGTATGGGGCATGCTGATGCCAGCTGATGCTTGTTTAAGAGATTTTAACAAAATCTGAAGCCTGAGCAAGGACAGGCCATTCATACAGAAAAGCCCCTGCAAACAGCTTGGGTAGGGCTGCAAATTGGAACGGACTGAGTCTCAGGGAATCAAGTGGGTGAAGCTAAACTCAGATATGGCTGCCAGTCATCTCTGGGATGGGGGAGGACCCAGCACAGGAACAATGACTCTTGTGAGCCCTCTGGTCTGGGAGAAAGCCACCCAACTGGAGTTCCTGCCCCAATGCCAGACAATCTAGTTCCTCCCTGTATGTCTCTAGATTTCCCCCAAAGCTGCTGCCACAGTACTAGAGCCCAGAGGGAGCAATTCCAAGTAAGTTTGTGCACCGGCCCTTTAAGAGGAACTGCCTGGGTCTCCAGTAGCCTCCTTGTCACTCAGTCACAATCCCAGTTGGTTTTTACAACCTGAAGTTACAGGGCTTCTCTTCCCAGCTCTGGAACCCTGGGCTGGGGATCTGGTGTGGGAATGGGACCCCTTGCTCCTCATGGGAGGCCTCCACAGCAGAGATATCCCTCCCAATAAAAATAAAAATTAAAAAATTAAAAAACACCATACATGGGTGTTGGATCAGCCATTCCGAGCCTCTGCCCCTCCTACCAGTCTCAATGTACTTTCTTTTTTTACTTCTCTAGTTGTAGGACTTCCATTCAGCCAGATTACAGGCAGATCTGAATGATGGTTGTTCTGTATTTTAGTTATAACTTTGATGTGGTTGTGGGAGGCAGTGAGTACCAGTGTTACCTACATTGCCATCTTGGTTCCCCTTATGGCAGGAGCTTACTAACTGCCAGCTGGGGGTTCCCATCGAGACCAGGCAGAAGTCCTGGCATGAAGCTTTGCAAAAAGCTCCATGGGACCCTGGCATCCTAGCCCCAGTAGACAGGCCTCTCTTGGCATGGTGGCAGCTCCACTTCTGTGCAGCCCTCTCCTGGGCATTCACATTCTTCCACCAGAGCAGACTGCTTACTCTATGGGCCTGAGGTAAGTGGTCTTTTAAATCTGGTTTATGACTTCAAAGGTACTCTTTTCCCCTTTGAAACTCCACCTCCAGCACCAGTTCCACCATCCAGAAACTGATAGGAATACTGAGGGGAGGGGGTAACTTAAAACAAACCACTTCCTTGTTTTCTAAGTTGGTAGCTTCTAGGACCCTTGTCACAAATACCAAAAAAGCCCCACAACAACCTAGAATTTGATTTGCAAGGCTGAAGAACTTCCTAAAGTAGTTGTTTTGTGTTTCATCCAGATGATCATGTTTGCCTTTACATTCCTATCTTCCCCATTTTGACCGATGCAGGCAGGAAGAGGAGAGGGAAGGACTGAGTCAGGAGTAGGGGGCTGCGGGGCCTGAGGGATGGTTCTTGAGGAGACATCCCATGGAGAGGGTCCAAAACAGTGCCCTGTAAAGCATCACCCTCTCCCATGCACATCATTATTGTCTTGTTAACCTGGCTACCTTCAAGGGAGGAGAATCACAGAAAGATCATGATCCTTCTCTCAGTCCCTCACCCTCAATGTCTAACAGGTATGAGATGCAAAGGTGGATGGGCCCTATTTGGGGAATGGAGCAGTGAGAAGCTGGGAATCCAGGCAGAGCAGAGTAATGGTTGGAGCTAGAACTCCAGAGTCTGACTCCATCAGTTGTGACCCAGGGCAAGTTACTTAACCTCTCCATGCCTCAGTTTTCCCATCTAAAGAACAGGGATAACCTAGTTTCTGATTACCGTGATTTCCAAATGAGCTAATTAATGCACATAAAATTCTCTGTGAGTGCATCTGACTTACAGTGAGCTCTGTATGTCATGGTCACCATTCTCAATTAGCTGTCCTTTTCAGACCTGTCAGTGACTTTGGGCAAGAATACATGTAGTAGCCTCTAGAGGTGGCCAATCAGGTGTGGCAACCAAGGAGCTTCTAATCAGATCCTGTGTGTGGGAGGCCCAATGGGGTGGGCAGCTGGCCTCAGGGGGCATTCCAGGCCTGTGCTGCCCTCCACAGCCCCAGCCTGGCAAATGGGCACCTGAGGTGCAATCACAGGAAGAGCTTCCCAAGGCCACAAATCTAGAGTGAGGGTTCTCATGAGCTGAAAGTCCAGAGCCAGAATCCTGAGTACCACCACCAGGACACACATAGTCCTTGATTAGGATGGCTACTTGGCCATGAACACTGACAGTTACAGCTTCTCGTCCCAGTCCCCAATCCCTCTACCTTGCACTAAACAAAAAGATAACATCATTCACTACCTTCAAGACTCCTGCCCTGGAAGCCTCCATCATCAAATATCCTTCTTCCCCTGTATGCCCTCATCCTTCCTGAGTCCAGGTGCCTGGGGCTCCTGAACAAGCCATTCTCATTAACAAATAAGTGGAACTTCCAGATCCTCCAATTAGTCTCCCAGGCTGGCTAAGGCTGTGAGCTGCCCTGGGCAAGGCCTCGGAGCAGGGTATGCAATGCCCTTTCCCATCTGGAGACACCCCTTTTCCATCTAGACAACTCTCCCACAGAATTCTTTGCACTGCCCTGAGTGCACTTTTCCTTCTTCTGCAGCTGGCAAGCTACTATTCATCCTTCAGAGTCCATCTCAGATAGCCTAACCTCCTCAAATGAAACTAACAGCAACCTGGGAGGGGAGTTGGGAGACTGAGTGAAAAAAAAGTGAAGTGATTGAGAAGTACAGATTGGTAACCATTCAGATGTAAAGTACGGCATAGGAAATATCTATAATAATAAAAGCGTAATATGCTAATTCGATCGGATGTCCTCCTGGATGACCTTCTGGATGAAGGGTCCCGGGTGCCAGAGGGAAGCTGGTGCCGGCAGCTGGGGGAAGGAAGGCCTACTCTTGCATGAATTTCGTGCATCGGGCCTCTAGTAGTCAATAAATCTACATATATAAAAGTCTACTATGCAAAGTGTCCCCTCAGGAGTTCAATTGACCGGGAGTTCGATTGCTCGCTATGATGAGCACTGACCACCAGGGGGCAGTGCGGAAGGAAGGAAGGCCCCAGCTGGCAGCTGCCAGGGACCCTACCCATGCACAAATGTTGTGCACTGGGCCTCTAGTATTGTAATAACTATGTATGGTACCAGATGGAAATATAAGGGGAACACTCTGTTAAGTATGTGATTGTCTAACCATTATGCTGGATACCTGAAGCTAATACAAAATAATACTGACATTAAACTGTAATTGAAAAAAAAAAAAAAACTAACAGCAACTCACCCCATGTTCCCACAGTTCTTTACACCAACACCCCCAAGGCCTGCATCCCAACAATATATTAGCCACCAGTCTGTGTCTCCATTCCCATGAGACAGCACCCTGTCCCTCATGAACCTGTGCCCAGCACAGCACAGGCATCCAGAGTGCTCAAGGGAGCCTGTGAGATGTTGCCTTTAAGTGCCCCTCCAGTGGTGCTGCCCTACACCTCTCCTTGCGTTCCTCCCACCCCAGGAGGGACAAAACAGCTCACACTCTGGGTAGCAGATGTCCTTTCCCAAATGATGCCACACTAGAGGTCTGTCCACCTCATCTTTAAAACCACAGGACTCCCCCCCCTCTTCCCTCCTAGCTCTGAGACCTCTCTTCCAGAACAGTTACTCCCAGTGGAGACCCAGGCCCCAAGATAGCATAGCCTCAGGCCCAGGAGTTACCTCCCCAAGTCAGAGCCTGCCATAAGCTTCAGATGGGTGGAGATGGAATGTGGAAAAACCACTCCTTCTGCAGCTCCTTTCTAGAAAAAGGCCAGCTGAGATGCCACTGAGTGAGGCTTGAGTTAGCAGATATGGCTTGGCAGGAAAGTCAGGCAGGATGGGCAGGCAAGCCTGGTGGTGGAATGAGGCAGTTGCCTGAAAAGGTGGGGGCACTCTATGCGGGGTCCCCATCCTACTCCTCAACCCCTTCCAGGCCCATCAGATGAAGGCCAATCCAATCCCAGAAGGCCCAGGCCCAAACCCAAAGCCAACTCTACAGAGGTCTTAACTGTGCTCCTCAAGCTGGTCCCTCTCTGTCCTACCACTAGCCCAGCACTGACTGCACATTACTGCTGGTGGGTGAATGAATAAATAAACCCCTGCCACCGCAGCCTCGGTTACTGAGGATTTCAGAGCTCTCCCAGTCTCCTGAGTCACTCAAACTGTTTTCTACCACCAGCCAGTATTTGCACATAATTTCACCCTGGCCTCACTGAGGCAGGTGTTGGGGAAAGTGCTATCGACCAGAGTCCAAGGTCTGCGTCTCTATTTGGGTTGGGATCTGGGGCCGACCCATCCATTCTTGTTGCCTTTCTCTTCTCTGTGGGGTGGGACCCCGCGGCCTCCAGTCTAACCCACACGCGGGGGGGGGGGGTCTGGAAGTCCTCACCCGATCTCCACTCTGCTCCCCCTGCATTGTGGCGGGCTGAGGCCCCACAGACGACTGCCAAACCCGAGGTTCACGTGGGGCGGAAAGGACAAAACCTCTCCCAACCCGAAGAAGGCCAGGGCCTCTCGGCAAAGGGAGTGAACCATGGAGCCGCGCGGTCCCCACTCTCCCGCCTCGGCTCCGTGCGCACCGGGCGGCTGCGAGCCGGAA